CCAGGGCCCTTCAGAGGAAAGTCCTAGTGGAGCCGAAAGCAACTTGGAAAGTGATGGGGGCTCTTTGCAGGCTCATGCTGAAAGAGACAAATGTGAGCCTGAAAGGGATGAGGCCTGTTTCCAGGGTGATAAAGAGAACAGAGGTCCTGAGGAAGGACTAGACAGGAAGGAGGCCTGCTTTCTTGACAACTTGGAAATGCCAGGTGATGAGGAAAGCAATGGGACACGCTTCTGTGATGGCCTCCCTGGGGTGGATGAAGACCAGAAACCAGCCACTGGCCAGCCCAGCTCTTCCCACTCCGTTGAAGCTGTCACTAGCTGGCAGGCTGAGGTCTCCCACACATGTTCTGACTGTGGGCATTCGTTCCCCCATGCCACTGGCCTGCTGAGCCACAGGCCCTGCCACCCACCAGACATCTATCAGTGCTCCCTCTGCCCGAAGGAGTTTGACTCTCTGCCTGCCCTGCGCAGCCACTTCCAGAACCACAGGCCTGGGGAGGCAGCCCCAGCACAGCCTTTCCTCTGCTGCCTCTGTGGGATGATCTTCCCTGGGCGGGCTGGCTACAGGCTTCACCGGCGCCAGGCTCATGACTCCTCTGGACTGACTGAGGGCTCGGAGGAGGAGGGGGAAGATGAAGCAGCAGCAGTGGCAGCCTCCACCCATAGTACCCCGCTACAGCTCTCAGAAACAGAGCTGTTGAATCAGCTGCAGCGGGAGGTGGAGGCATTGGATGGAGCCGGTTATGGGCACATCTGTGGGTGCTGTGGTCAAACCTATGATGACCTAGGGAGCCTGGAGCGTCACCACCAAAACCAGAGTTCTGGAAACACGACAGACAACGCTCCCAACCACTTGGGAGAGTCGGGTGATACCACGGAAACGGTTGCAGATGGCGTCTTTGAGGGCACAGTGACTTCTCTCCCTGCAGAAGGTGGAGACACAAAGTCTGGAGAGGGAGAAGGTGCCCGGGTTGCAGACAGCCTCTTCCTGCAGGGCGGGGAAAGTTCCCTGGAGGATCAGCCCCGCCCCTTCCGCTGCAATCAGTGCGGCAAAACCTATCGCCATGGGGGCAGCCTAGTGAACCATCGCAAGATCCACCAGACTGGAGACTACATCTGCCCTGTCTGCTCCCGCTGCTACCCCAACCTGGCTGCCTACCGCAATCACCTGCGAAACCACCCACGCTGCAAAGGCTCTGAGCCCCAGGTGGGGTCCGCCCCACAGGCCAGAGGCGGCAGTGAGCCCCAGAACGTGGCAGAGGAGGGGCTGGGGCAGGCGGAATTGGAGAAGCTCCAGGAGGAAATTAAAATAGAGCCCCCAGAGGAGGTGGCAAGGGTGAAAGAAGAGCCATGGAAGGAGCCCACTCTGAAGGGGGAGGAGATGGGGCTGAGGTTGGAGACTGCGGAGAAGGGCTGCCAGACCGAGGCCAGTTCAGAGCGGCCCTTCAGCTGCGAGGTATGTGGCCGGTCATACAAGCACGCCGGCAGCCTCATTAACCACCGGCAGAGCCACCAGACCGGCCACTTCGGCTGCCAGGCCTGCTCCAAAGGCTTCTCGAACCTCATGTCCCTCAAGAACCACCGGCGCATCCATGCAGATCCCCGGCGTTTCCGCTGCGGGGACTGTGGGAAGGCGTTCCGCCTGCGGAAACAGCTGGCTAACCACCAGCGGATCCACCTTGAGCGGGGTCGGGGTGGGGGCACCCAAAAACTGGCTCGGGAAGATTGGCCCTTCCAGTGTGGGCAGTGTGGGCGGAACTACCGCCATGCCAGCAGCCTCCTGAACCACCAGTGCAGCCCTGAGACCGGCCCGTACAGCTGCCCCACCTGTCCCAAGACCTACTCCAACCTCATGGCCTTGAAGGACCACCAGAAGCTACACGCAGAGAGCCGGCGGCGACGAGCAGGGCGGGCCCGGCGGGCAGCTGTTCGCTGCGCCCTCTGTGGCCAGGGCTTCCCAGGCCGGGGTTCTCTGGAGCGGCACTTGCGAGAGCATGAGGAGGAGACCAGAAGTGGTCAGGGAGGTCCTGGTGGCACAGAGGGCAGCAAGGGGAACCTCGCTGATGACAAGGGACTGGAGGACAGATCTGGTGGTACTGAGTCAGTTCCCCAGCTGCAGTGTGGAGCCATGAGGCCAGGGGAGCAGAGTCATAGCCCCAGCAGGTCAGCAGGTTCAGAAGCCACAGAGCCAGTATCCTGGGGCATGGGGCAAACAGATGGATGGCAAGGAGATAGGGGACCAGTGAGTCATGATGGAGATTGGGTTCCTCAGGGTCATGTACTGACCAAGCCAGAAGACGAGTCAGGAGACAGTGTCCCCTTAAGTTCTTGCCACCTTGGCAACAGCCAGCCCAATGGACCTAGTCATGTGGGCAGCTGGGACAATAGAGACAGCACCCCTCAGCTCCAACCAGAGAGCCACCCCGTTTCCTGCTGCCGTTGTGGTAAGACCTGCCAGTCGGAAGGCCCCTTGAACCACCACACCCATAAGGCAGACTGCCACCATTGCCTGCTCTGCTCCAAGGAGTTCCTGAGTCCTGTGGCCACTGAGAGTCACAGCCACAGCCACGTATCTTCCCAGACCTTTGGCTGCCCTGACTGTGGCAAAACCTTTCCGTTCCACCATGAACTAGCCAGCCACCTGCAAACTCATGCCAGGGGCCTCAGTCAGGTACCACCCCAGATAGAGGAGGCCAGAGGCCCCAAAGCTGGGACTGTGGAGGACGAGGTTGATGTCGCTGGTCAAGGGAAAGCCCAGAAGGCCCCAACAGATCCCCCCCGGGCCCCAGGAGAGAATACTGAGAGAGCTAAAGAAGGGCAGGGAGTGAAGTCCACAGTGTCTGAAGGTGAGGACCGGCCCTTCCGCTGTGCCCAGTGTGGGCGTTCATACCGCCACGCTGGTAGCTTGTTGAACCACCAGAAGGCCCACACCACTGGACTCTATCCTTGCTCCCTCTGTCCCAAACTTCTACCCAACCTGCTCTCCCTTAAGAACCATGGCAGGACCCACACGGACCCCAAACGCCATCGCTGCAGCATCTGTGGCAAGGCCTTCCGGACAGCTGCCAGGCTGGAGGGCCACGGGCGGGTCCATGCACCCCAGGAGGGGCCCTTCACCTGCCCCCATTGTCCCCGCCATTTCCGCCGCCACATCAGCTTTCTGCAGCACCAGCAGCAGCACCAGGAGGAACGGACAGTGGCCAACTCTGGTACGGGGATATGAATGGGCAGAGGATTGAAGGATCCCAGAGGAGGTGGGCATGCAGTGGAGGGCAAAATCTGGCCCCAAGGTAGTGGGGAAGCAAGGAGTGAGAGGAAAGGGTCCTGTGGGTCCGAGAGGTGACCAGAAGCTTGGGTATGGAATGAGAAAACTAGTTTGAAGATGCTGCCCTTTGAGTGACCTAGATCTGAACCCCTGGGTCAGGTAAATAGATAGCGTGGTGGGTGGGATAAGGACTGGGCAGGGGCAGAGGCCACTGCCTGGGCTCCTCTGCTGTGCCTGAGCCAAAGAGGAGTCTTCGTTTTGGGAGGGAAGGCTGCTGGGTACCATCTGGCTGCTACATCTGGAAACCCTCCTGATCTAGCCAGTGATGACTCCCAGGGGAAAAGATTATCTAGGTTCTGCTCTTCCCTAGAAGTAGGCAGGGAATCAGGGAATGAATGGGCTGAGGGAGGCACCCCAGGCTGAACTTTGTGGCTTCAGTGCTGACTTGGCCAGAGAAACTAGGCCACTGAATGGCCCCCAGCTCCCCGTCCCTGTTTCCCTGCATCTGCTCCCCCTCCGCTTTTCTTGGAAACTAGACCTTTGGTCCTTTCCTACCAGTATTGCCTCACGTCTCTTCTCTTTATTCAGCCCTTTTCTCTATCTGCTGTGTATGCTTTTTAGGATCCAACCAAACCACCCTTTCTACCTGCACACCCCCTACCGCCAGCACACCTTTAACTGGAGGGCTGAGTCACAGATGATAGTTCCTTTGAAGCCAGGCCCAGCTGTAGTAACAACAATCATTAGCCCTATCACCCTTCTCTATCGGGGAATCTCCACGGAGTCACCTCCACCCAGCCGAGCTGGAAGAGTGGGACAGCGTATTCCCCCGGCAAGCGCTGGGCTTGCGCGCTTCACCTCTAGAGATCTCCCAGAACCCACTCCACTTTGTGGCCACCGAGGATGGGTGCCCTGAGATGGCGGGCCCTTGACCAGAAATTGTCAGGGAAGGAGGGGGTGGTGGCTGAGAGTCCCCTAAGAGAGCTGATGAGATGGTGTTCAAGGTGAGAGATTTCTTGTAACCTTAAGGGAACGCGTGAGGAGCCAGTTAGCCAAGCCTGGGAAACCCAGTGGAAGTCTTAGGGCGATAGGGCTCTCCTACAGGTTCCTCAGGCCATGGGCAGGGCTGGGGAGGGGAGTACAAGCTGTATGGAGTGTGCCCCCTCAGTCAGTACCTTCTCTCCCCAGGAGCCTCAAGGGCACCAGCAGCGGGCCTGTCATTGCCCCCTCCACCCACCCCCACGACCCCCCTTCTGGACCCTTCACCCCAGTGGCCTGCAGATCTCAGCTTCTCCCTCTGAACTTCAATTCTCCAAAGATCAATACAGGGCAAGAGTGCAGGTTGCAGGGAAAGGTTTGACCTCCATGTTCTACTCAGGAGTAGTTTGGGCATCCCCATCTCTCCTCTCCCCTGGCTTCTTTCCCATGTCCCTGTCCGTGAAGGGCCTCCTTCCCCAGCCTTGGTCACCATGCAGTTCATTATGCTCGTCCTACAAGAAACCTGGTGCCAGGGTCTGCGGGATGCGGGGCCACCCTCACCCACCAGATTCCAACACCAGGGAGGCAGATTAAGAGAGCCAGGGATAGGAATGTTGCCTGTGGAGGGGGGAGGGGGGGCTTTTGCTACAATTTGTAACTTATTTTCTAAAGTCTATTTTGTAACAATTTATTTAAGTTTAAAAAAAGGAAAATTGCACCACCATTCCCCTCCCCCCCCCCCCCCCCCTCCCCCCCCTCCCCCGCCAAAAAAGAAAATTTTCCAAGAATGTGGCTGGTGTGGTTATATGTGAGGGGTGAAGAGGGGAAAGCGGGACGCCTGCGTCGGGAGCAGAGCTGAGAGCAGGAGCATCTACAGGTGACAAGTCCCTGTCCTGCAGGGGGGAGGCGGGGCAGCTGCCAATCCACTGGGCTTTTGGGGCCTGCCCAGGGCCTGGAATTGTGTGGGTGGGGGGAATGGAGAGGGGCAAAGGCAGTGATGTGTTTGCAGCATCCCAGAGCCACCTGTCAGCAGTCAGCGGGTTGGCCTGTGGGAGAGGAAGAGGTGGGTGGTGGCCTCGTCCTCACACTCTCCTCCTGGAAGGAGGCGGAAGGAGGTGCCACAGAGCCCCCACGGGGGATGAGAAAACAGGTTCAGAGGTTGAGAGGCCTGTTCCAAGTCACACGATGACAGAATTTGCATCCAGATGGGTCTGTCTACCGCTCCACCCCACTCAGGGCATCTAGAGGTGACTCAGATCAGATCTTACAGAGAGAGGGGTCTGGAGAGGGAAGAGTCAGCAGAAGGCCCCAGGGCCACATACTCATATTGGCCGGCTAGCTTCCGGGCTCGGGCTCGGGCTCGGGCTCGGGCTCCTTGGAGAAGTAGACCTGCCAGTCCAAACTGCTGACCCAGTTCTCGTAGGTGGGGAGCGCCGTGAAGACTGCAGGCCGTGCGGGGCCCTGGCAGGCATCGCCAAAGCTGTGTAGCCCAGCCAGGAACCATGTGCCCCTCACCTCAAGCACCAGTGGTGCCCCAGACAGGCCCTGCCAGGGGTCAGTGACACTGGGTGACTTCCTCTTACCCCTCAGCAGTTGTGAGGGGCAGGAGGGGCAGGACGGGAGGCCAACCCCGGCGGACCTGTACATGAGCTGCCGGCTGAGGATGCCAGGGGACTGTGGGGTAGGGTTTGGGGGATTGGAGCTTACCTCACAGCGGGGCGGCTCACCCACAACACTGGTGCACACCATCTCTGGCAGAATGGGGGTGCCATCGCTCCCGAGGGCAGTGTGCAGCCGGCCGCAGGCCCTAGGCCCCAGGAGGGTGACAGGCACTGTCTGAGGGGAGCTGGTGCCTGTGGTGGGGGAGGGAAAGACCCGACTGCCCCAGTGGCCTCGAGGCTGGATGGAGAGCTGCCGGTGGCCCGGTCCTACATACCTGCTCCTTGGCGGGCCAGCCCCAAGACCCAGCCACGTTCCCCATCGGGCAGGCGATGGTCAGCATAGGGCAGGCAGAGGGGCCGCAGGCTGGGGCCTAATGTCACAGGCTGGGCCAGCAACAGCAGGGCCACATCGTAGCCCCCCTCGGGGTGGGTGTAAGCCCCGTGCAGGATGAGTTGCTTGAGGCTGTGCTCCTCTGGTCCGGCCGCCAGCCTTACACTCCGTGGGGGAGGGGGGGTGGACAAAGGTGAGGGAGACAGGGCTCACCCAATGAAGCAGTGGGCAGCAGTCAGCACCACCTCCTCTGACACCAGGGCTCCGCCACAGGCCAGCTTCCCCTGGTGCTTCAGCCTGGCATCCCAGGGCCATGGGGAGGGGGCTTCTGCCTGGGGACCTTCTCCCATCAAGGATCCGCAGGCTGAAACGGATGGATTACCATCTGCCTTCTTGCTAAGTGCTTCCCACATACTATCTAATCCTCACAACAACCTTTTAAGTTGAATTTTGTTACCCCTGTAACCAAAGGTCCCGAAAGGTTAAGTGACTTTCTAGCTCAGTAACTACAGGTAAATAGCAGATTTGATATTCAGAAGCCAGGGCCTAAGCTTTTAACTGATGGTCCAGCCTCAAGGGAGTGGCCTGCTCATCATCCCTCCGCCCCACCTGTCTGCACCCCTCCGGGCTTGGACTGGCTCCAGCATTCCTGGCTCACTCGGGCTTCTCTTACCATCAAGACATAGCTTCCGTCCCAGGAATTATTTTGCATGCAATTTGTGTGTTAATCACTTACGCTAGGATTCTGAGTGGGAGCCCTGCCCTGTTTAGTCTCACTGGGTCCTTGCTTGGAAATGTGCAGCAAGGCCCCAAAACCTTCAGCTAGATCACAACTCCCTCTTACCTAACTCCAAACCCAGAAAGTTCTGGAACATCTCAGCCCTAAATGGGGCTGTTCCCATCCTAGGGACTCAGGGGTGGGCCTTAAAATCCCCCTAGTTAGTATATGGCAGTTTGTGGATGCCCTGTATCAATTCTCTATTGCAAACTGAAATTTATTTCACCATGGCTTCCATCTGCTGCCCAGAAGCCCTCACAAGCCTGGCTGTCCCCACATATCACACTCTTAACAGCCTCTGCGCGTACCTACACAGCTGTCCTCATCACTGAGCTGCAAGGCCTCTGGGTTCTGGGCCAGAAAGGCTGCGCCCCCAGCGCGGGCCTGCAGCCAGGAGCTGTGGGCAGCCATGTCGGTCAGCAGCACGGGAGTGTCTTCCTGGGCACAGCTTGATGTGAAGCTGATGATCCCAGCCTGAACCCAGTGTCCATCAGGCTCACGGCACAGCACGGGGCCCCCAGAATCTCCCTGGAGCAGGCAATGGAGTCAAGAACAGACACCTGAGCTCAGCCCCGGGAAGACATCTTCTGCAGCCCTTCCACCCATCCCTGCGCCAGGCCCCCTCCCCTCTGCTTCCTTCCCCTCTCCTCCCCTTCAGACCTGGCAGGGCCCCTGCACCCCGGGCTGGGCACCCCCACACAGCATCCCAGGCCGGGCCGGGCTGGCCAGCAGCCGCTGGTGCAGCCTGTTGTAGAGACAGTTACACGTGGGGCGGCTGATTAGACGCAGGCGCAGATTCCGTAGGATCCTGGGAGCTGGAAAAAGACGGGCTTGGGGCTGGAGTCTGGGCTCTGGGGAGCACGGAAGACTAGAAGCAAAGACCGTTGCCAGCTGAGGCTGCGACTTTGGGCAAGAGGACTGCCTCTGGGCTTCCGCCTGGGGTAGCACTTACCATCACTAATGTCCTGGTCCCAGCCAGTGGCCCAGCAAGAGGTCCCAAAGGGGAAGCGATGGGCAGGTCTGGGCAAGCAGAGGGGTGTGTGGGCTGTGGGGTGGGCGAGCCGTAGCAGGGCCAGGTCTGAGCCCTGGCTGTAGTGGTTGTAGGCCCTGGGCAGCTGCAGAGAAGTCACCCCGATCTCCTCAGCTCCGGGGCCCAGCCCCTCACGCTGCAGAGAGCCCAGAACAACTGACCAGGAGCTCAGGTCTGTCATTGCCGCTCTGGAAAGAGAGGGGCGAGGCCCAGGCATGGAGTGCAGAGGGGGGCAGTGCACCAGGGAAGACCGAACAAGGCAGGTGAACGGACAAATACCATCTGTGGCTTTAAGCAAGGCCTTTCCTTCTCCCAACCTGTTTCTCGTTTGTAAGGCTTCTGCCACGAAGGCTGTTAAGAGCAACTTGATAGTAAGAACCTGGCACATCTCAGAGTCTCAGTAAACAGTCCTTTGTCATTCTAAGGGCAGGGATCAGCACTGTGGAGTTTGGGGACACATCACCGCCCCGCCCCCCCGCAAAGTCGGCAGCCCTGTGGGAGCCCAGCCACAACTCACTTTTCAAAGCAGTGGGCAGCTGTGAGGACCCAGGTGTCCGCCACCAGGGAGCCACTGCAGATGTGCACCCCCTGCCTCCGCACACTGGCCTGCCAGGGCCACTCGCCAGGCCCCGTGCTGCCCTCCTGAGGCTCAGGGGGGCCAGGGCCGCGCTGCCCACAGGCTGTGGAGAGAGGTGGGTCAGGAGAGCAGGCCCCCATCCTGTCCTCGCAGGGTCCATCCAGACCCCGGGAAGGCCCAAGCCCCGTGTCCCCAGAGCTTACCACGCTGAGCTGCCTGAAGACCTGGGAAGAGAGAGACACGGGTGAGACTTGGGGGAGCCTTCCCTGGCTGGCCCAGCTTTGGTGGAGGGGACAGGTTGGGGGAGAGGCCCTGGGCCCTTGCCTATGACTCTGTGGCTACCTCACCAGCCCCTCCCAGAATGAAAATATTTATGTGTGGTCCAGGGACAGCTTTTATTGGAACCTACTCAGAGCATCTGCTCGGTAATTAACTCTCCTCCCGCAGCTGTGCTCAGCACTCCGGGCCTGAGGAGCAGGGCCGGGGTTCAGCTTGGGACCAGGCCAGCCCTCCTCCACGCTTCAGAACCCCAGCTCCTGCCCCCGCCACTGAGTCAGGAGGCAGCCTGTGAGTGTGGAGAGCATTAGCTTAATTGTGCCCTCAGCCATGGAGGCCGAGGAGGAAGGATTAGAGGCCTGCGTCATGTCCACCCATTTTGACGACTCAGGCTCCCCCACCTTTCCAGAAACTGCCAGACTCAACCAAAGAGTCTCCTGCCCTGCCTATTCCCCATAATAGGCACACACAGACACACCCACTGCACCTCTGAGCCAGGAGAGATGGAACGGGGGCAAAGGCTGGGAGACAGGCTGAAGGCCTCAGAACTTGCCTAAGGTCTTGCTGGAGGTAGAGGGGCAGACAGGGGCACAGGGAACACACACAGGCGCTGACAGCCCTGCAGACAGACTCCTCCAGCCCAAGAATATCACACCCTTTATGACACAGACAGACACACAGATGTCCCCCGACACAGCCAGACATGGCTGTATCACCCCCAGCGGACTGACACCCCACAGGCAGTCTTCCTCACACACACCAAGCTGCAGGGGCTGCTGGGCAGAGGGCGGCCCCTGAACCCCCACCATACCACCCCCCCACCCACGCAAACACAGGTGGCTCACCCTCTATGAGGACCACGGCTCCCAGGAGCAGCAGCCCTGGTCTCCAGCTCTGCCTCATGCTGCTCCGGGCGACTCTGTCACCTGTGCTGTGGTTCTGAGAGGCCACCGGGTCTCGCTAGCTCCACCTCTGCTCCGCCCCCAGTTGGCTAGGCGTCAGGTGTCACTGCTTTTCCTGGGCTGGAAGGAAGCCAGTAGCTCCTGGTTCTGGGGCTGTGTGACCCTGGGCTATTCACCACCCCTCTCTGGGCCATGGCCATGAGCTCACAGACCGAGTTCAAAGGCCAGTTCCCCCGCTTACTACTGGAGTGACCTTGGACATTTAGCCGGCCTGTGCCTTGTCTGAAAAACTCAGAAAATGCCAATTTAAAAACACAGACCAGAGCCTGGCATAGATTCAACCTCTCCCAGCATGGAAGCTCTCTCCTGTAACTAAAGGACACCACGCAGGCCTCCTGTTCTCACTTTTCAGTGACCGCACCTCTCACCAGGCCCAGGTGCTTCACACACCTTCTCCCATCTTGCTTCAGACACAGTGAGTTCAGGGCTGACAGTCAAGGGGCCAGGGCTCTGCCACCTGCTAGCCAACAGACTGGCAAATCTCAACGCCTCTCTGGGCCCGCCCCCTTCCCGGCAGGCAGGGGTACAGTCCTGCCCACCTTTCTCGCAGGTGTCAGAAGACTCGCCCAGGAGGGAAGAACATTCAGGGTGCGTTCTTTTCCTGTTCTTGACTTCTAGCTCAGGCCAGCCCAGACTGTTCAGGAACCCTGACCCCAACACAGACCCTGCAACCAGATGCCCCTGGTGGGTTAAAACCCTGAGGGCTTCCTAACCCCCTTCCAGACACTAGCTGTGTGATCTTAGGCAAATTATCTAGCTTCTCTGTACCTCAGTTTCCTCATCAAGACAGGGATAATAATAGTACCTACTGCATACAAATTGCCAGAAGGATTAAATGAGTTAACACATGTCATGTTCTTAAACCGTGCTTGGCATGCAGGTAAGTGCTCAGTACATATTAGGAAAAACAAATCAAAAACACAACCTGTCCCTGGCCCTTCAGAGCTGCCACGATTGTCTTGGGGTGGTAGATAAGGCAGCCAGAAGGGTTAAGGTTATACTATAAGAAGAACTTCCCAGCAAACATGCACGGAACCAGAGGGCAGCTTGTTCAGACAAGTGCATGCGTGGCCCTCACAGGAGAGGAGGCCTGGCACCCGTGGGCAGCAGTGGGCTGCCAGCCTGTTTCCTGCAGCTGGGGGGCCCCCGGTCTTGCTGACTCCACATGAAGGCTGTGGAGAAGGAACTAACCACCCTTCCCAAGCAGACCCCCGACTCTCCCTCCAACTTCTATCCTCCCAGTCCCAGAGGAGGCAAGAGTTAGGGCCCGTGGCAGACAGGTGGCTCAGACTTAACCAATTTAAGAAATTTTATTGCTCAGAACCTTCCCTCCTGGGGCAAAGGCAGGAGCTTTGGAAATCAATCCTTGGGGACAGAGCCAGAGGCACCAGGTGGAGGAAAGAGAGTGGCACATTTGGTCCATTGTCCTGCGTGGGGAGTATGGTGGAGGCGGGCTGCAGACTCCTCTAGGACCCAGGCGTGCTCCCCTTTGGCAAAGCGGACACACCAAAGCAGAGCACGAGAGGTCAGTGAGGGCTCAGTGCCCCTTGACCTTGCCCTGGGGTCTCCGGACCTCCCGGAAGCTGAGCGCCATCAGGCCCACGTTGATGGCATAGGTGGTGATGCAAACGATGCAGAAATCATGGAGCACGAAGAACAGGATCCAGGCCAGGTAGACGGAGCCGGCGAGAGATACCAGGGAGCTCAGCAGCAGCAGGGTAGACACCCAGCGGCCCCGGAGGCAACCTGCGAGGAAGAAAAGGGTCAAACATGGGCTTCGGGGACAAGCCACCTCCAGAAACTGCCATGACTTTGGTGCCACCCAGGCAGCAGGGGCCTCTGGGGAAATCTCTAAAATCAGAGGGTCTGACAGGCCCCATCAAGGCCTTGGTTTTCCTCTCCGTGCAATGATCCCTGGGGCCCAAATAGTGAATTTCCTACTGAAACGTCATCCACATGAGATGAAAGACAAACTACCCTTAGATTCCCCCAGAAGAGAACTCCCGAGTCTTTCCAACAAAACTGGTGCCCTCGGAAGTGGTTCAGGGTCCTTCTGGCTCTGACACTTCCAAGACCAACTGAAAGACTCCTATTAGTTCCCACCCCCGTCAGCTCTAAGAGACCCCGAGGTTGCAAGCAATGGGGCTGGAAAGGAAGGGCTGCCATGAGGGGGCGGGCCAGTTACCTAACAACAGCTGCAGTGTGTAGAAGATGCATCCGAATATGCTGTTGGACTGATTGAAGACACTGTCTGGCCCCAGCACTGGTTCCACCAGCCCGAAGCCCTGGCCCCACCTGGTGGAGGGGAAGGCCCAGGTAAGGAGTGTCGTCAACCCAGTGCCCTGGGCCCTGTCCTGGAGGGCGATTTCCCAGAAGCCACTTGACCCGGCTAGTGTGGCTCAGTGGTTGAGCTTAGACCTATGATTCCTGGTCGGGGCACTTCCCGGATTGTGAGCTCACCCCCAAGAGGCAGATGATCCATGATTCTCTCTCATCACTGATGTTTCTATATCTGTCTCCATCCCTTCCTCTCCAAAACGAATTTAAATATATATATATATGTGATATATATAGTATATAACACATATAATAATATATATATATTTATTTAAATTGTATATATTTCTTTTTAAATCGAAGCCAGCCGGGCTGTCCTTCCCTATGTCGCCATTTCCCTACCCAGCCTGAGGCCAAGGGTCGATGGCCTCCTGGCGAAGCTTCCCTTTGCCACGTCAGGATTCCATGTGTTCGCTCCTATCTCCCCCATTCCCAGGCCAGGCCTGGCCAAGGTTCCCCCTTAGGCCCCTCTTTTCATCCTAGACCTTCAATAACTCTAAGTTGGCATGGTGGGAAATAACAGTTGACCTTGCTTTACAGAGTTACCAGAGACTGGGAATCCGGGGTAGAATCTCTCTGGCCTGGACCCCTAACTCTCCAGCTCCCTGGCCGCCCACTGCCTCCTCTGTATTCGGTCATCCCACTGACCCCAGGCCCTCAAGCACAGCCAGACCTGGCCACCTTATCCCCAGGCACCGCCATCCTCATGACCAGCATGGGTCCCTACACACTACCTCCCCCTCCTGCCGGGTCACCGTTATTCCTTGGCATCCAGATCCACGAGCTACTCCCAGAAATAACCATAGTCCCCAGCAATATCTGCACACACACCCACCCCCGAATCCGGCCCCTCATTCCTATCGGACACACCCGATTCGCTGGGCAGTGTCCCCTGGAGCAGCCGGTCCGCATGCATCTGCTCCAGAACCACCTGGCAACCTGGCCGCCATGCACACCTGGTCCCCATGCACCGCTCCCACGAACAGCCCGGTGCCCCAAGCCTTCCACTCCCACGCGCACCTGGAGGAGAAGACGCGCGAACAGCTGATGGCGGTGCCCACGTCGCAGAGGGCGCGGTAGTCCCGGTCCCGGGCGCGCGCCGCCTTCACGTGCAGCGCGTAGAGCGAGAGCACCAAGCCCGCGAGGCAGAGCGCCAGCCGCACCCACCCGGGGCTGCCCCACGTAGTGCCCATGTCTCGGCGTCCCGCCCGAGGCGCCGGTCAAAAGAATCAGCCACGGAGCAGGGGCGGGGCAAGAGGCGGCCACACCCTCCCCTCCCGTCTGCGCGGGCGCGGGCTGGGTCTCGCCCTCCCGGATCCAACTGGGTTTTCCTAGGACCGGATAGGCTTGCTGGCGAGGCAGGGAAACGGCAAGGAATGCTGGGACTGGAAAACCCGATTAAAGGCCCTCACGGACTAGACGGCCCGCCAGGCATTCTAGGAGTTGTAGTCCGAGCGGCCGCAATGCCTCAAGGGAAATGGAGTCTGCGGCGTTTTAACAGGTACTTACGTATATCAATTACAGCTAACGGTATATAACGGTTACTCTGTGACAAGCCCTGTTCTAAGCATTGGGACATCCAGGACCTAGAGACCAGCGGATCAGGAAATCCAGCGAGTAGTGCGATCCAATCAAGAACCAAGCATTTTCCCTAAATTATTTCAGATACCATTAATACAACAATAGCCTTAGTTTGCTCCGCAATCCCTCCCTGCCTCACCAGCGCCCCCTGCCGGCCGGTCTCTCTTCTCTCCTTAAATTCCCAGTTACCATCTCAGCGCACCCTTGATGGTCACCTAACCTCTGGGCTATCGTGGCGCCCGCCTGGCTAACCCTGAGCCTGGGTCAGTCCAACAGACCCTCCTTTCGAGGCTTTCGGTGGGCTAGCGGCACTCTCCCCTTCACAGATACCGCATTTACACCCATCGCTGCTATACCTCTCCTTCCTTCTCATCTGCATCGAAATGTGTTTTTCTTTCCTATTTTAGAAACAGCAGCAAAATTTCTTTTACAATCAAGTATTTGGGAAGATTTTACACTCTCAGTCTCACACTTATTCACTCCTACCTTGCTGCCCAGGACACCATAAACTAGCTCCTGCCCCCCAAACTACCCCAACGAATGGCTGGTGTCATCAGGACACCAACTCCAACAGATATTTTTTAATTCTTATCAGGCTTGACCTCCCAACAGTGTTAGTCACTGCAGTGCACCCCTTCCTGGGAACTCTCTCTTCCTTCCTTTAGCTTTTGTGACATGTCCCTCTCCTGCCCGCCCACCTCCTTTTCCTGGCTGCTCCTTCTCAGGCCCACTCCTTTCCTTCCAGACAGCATGGTTGGCAGAGCAACAGCCACACAAACATCCATGTCCTAATCCAGGGGTGGGTAAACTTTTTGACTCGAGGGCCACAATGGGTTCTTAAACTGGACCAGAGGGCCGGAACAAAAGCATGGATGGAGTGTTTGTGTGAACTAATATAAATTCAAAGTAAACATCATTACATAAAAGGGTGCGGTCTTTTTTTTTCTTCAATAGTTTTATTCATTTCAAACGGACCGGATCCGGCCCGCGGGCCGTAGTTTGCCCATGGCTGTTGGGACCTGTGAGTGTGTAGGTTACATAGCAAATGGGAATTAAGGTGGAAGATGGAATTAAGGTAACTAATATGCTGATTTTTTTAAACATATTTTATTGATTTTTTACAGAGAGGAAGGGAGAGGGACAGAGAGCCAGAAACACGATGAGAGAGAAACATCCATCAGCTGCCTCCTGCACACCCCCTACCGGGGATGTGCCCGAAACCAAGGTACATGCCCTTGACCGGAATCAAACCTGGGACCCTTCAGTCCGCAGGCCGACGCCCTATCCACTGAGCCAAACCGGCTGGGGCTAATATGCTGATTTTAAAACAAAGGGATTATCCTGTGGGTCCAATGTAATCACAAGGGTTCCTTACAGTGAAAAAGGGATGCAGAACAAGAGAGGCAGAGGGAGGTGTGACTCTGAAGAAAGGCACAGTGAGATGCAATGTGCTGGCTTTGAAGGTGGAGGAATGGGGTCATGAGCTAAGGAATAGGGGAGGCTTCTAGAGGCAGGAACGGGCAAAGAAATGGACTCTCCCCTAAATGCTCCAGAAAGGAACTGGTGACATCTCGGTTTTAGCCCAGTGAGACCCCTGTCAGACTCCTGAACTGTAAAGCTGTAAAATAATAAGTTCATGTTCTTTTAAGCCACTAAGTGTGTGGTAACTGGTTACAGCAGCAATAGGAAACTAGTACAGAGGACTTGGACTTAGTTCTGACCTCTTCCCACAGCCCCCTGGACTCCCTGTTATCTGTGGCTGGTTTCCCCCAGGATGAGTGCTCTAGGCGGGAGCAAGATGGAACCACAACATCATTACCACTTAGCCTCCAAAGTC